ATGGAAGCAGATCGTGTCCAGCTCTCTACCACGGTGAGGTGAGATGGGACAGGAATGGTCCTCAAGCGTTTGAGGAAAGTTGAAGTTTCCTCTTGAAAGTTGAAGCTTTCAAGAGGAAACTTGCGTTGTAGAATTAGAGGGCCCAGGAGACGACGATGGACATGTTTCCACTTTTGTCTCACATCTCGGAAAACTCCCCTCAGGTGAAGGTCCGTGACTCTGTCAGCACGTTTCACAACTGACACAGACATTTGATGATCCCTGAGGATCCCAGAGAAGGACATGTGTGGATTTTGGACCCATTTCCTGTGGATCCCACTGTAAATGTTGCTTTGCCCTCACATCTGGACTCACAGCTTCTGGAAGTTTCCACCAACAGCACTTTAAAGTTGCAGTGGAGCAAACTTGATGTGGGCTCCTTCTGGAGTGCTGTCTCAAAGGAGGACCCGTGTCTGGCACTAAGAGCTGTGAAACTCCTCCCATTCACAACTACATATCTGTGTGAATCAGGATTTTCCATTGTGGTCACAACCAAGACCAAAGCCCGAAACAGACTCGGAGAGTGATCCTTTCCCCAACCCTACCCAGACCGGATCTGATCGTGTCTCAGAGGCAGGCTCAGGTGTCTCAGGTAAAGGGGAGTTACCTGCTGTGACTGTACATTTGTCTTAAACATAAAGAGTAACTTCTGGTTCTGCCAATGAAAAACGGTTTACTGCTGAAACTCACAGATTATATGTCACAGCTGGGGCAACAGTCATGTGGTGTTATGAGAAAAGGACCCAAAATGCAGGTACTGGCTGGGGTGCGAGTGAGTGTTTATTTACAGTGACAGCGAAGTACAAAAACAGGAAATAAGGAACAGGGAGCTAATAAAACCTCGACTGGGCAAAACTAATAAACAAACCTGAAAACATAAGGACACGGGATGATACACGGAGATGACATGGAGAAAGCAGGGGAGACACGGAGAAAGACGGAATAACACAGATGAACCGACGGTGAGCGCAGGTAGATACACACTATCAATACACACAGAAGGGAATAAGGAATGGCCCAAACAGGATGGAGACCAGACCATGGAAATCAGAAGAAATTAAAAAATAATAACAATAAACTCAAAACGCTGGGTCACCGACCCGGGACCATGACTTTATAGGGCTATATTTTTATTTGCGCTTTGTTTACATTCTATAACAGTTTATTTATTTAGTCAGAAAATTATTTTGAATGTATTTATTTTATCATCACATTATTTATCCAGTTTTTTCTTCTCTTTTGCTGTAGTAAAATTGAATTATGAATTATTTTTGTGTAATTAAGCCTGACTGGAGCCTTCAGTTTGATTCCCATGAAAGTTAACCTGTTTGGCATTTTGTTCTTTGTGCAGGTTCACATACACATAATAAATAAATGTCTTTGTGATTGTTACATTGCATCATGTCTTCATCATGTTTATTTGACAAGGTTTTAGTCGTTAAAATGAAGTAGATTGGATGTAGTTATTAACGCCAATTTATTCAGTGTCAGTAATAGCCCAAACCTCGGGCCACTGTGTAGTGGAAAGGTTGGGCCCCGAGGTAAAAAAAAAAAAAGGGTAAGAACTATTAAATTCCTCTGCGCTATACTTCCTGTTTTTTGCACAAGACGTGCAGTCTACTCTGTGACTTTTGGCCTACATTCTAACTCACAAGGGCGTTTTCCTACACTGGGCTCTATAAAACAATATAAACAGAAAATAAGCATTAAGAATATATATTTATTTCATAACAGAACCCCTGGAGGACTGAAAATCTACACAAACATATGTGCACCGAGGTGATGTCTCTTTGAGTTTACTGACGATCACTGATCTGTATCTGCAGAACCAAAGTCTGCGGGTAAGCTCGGCCGTTCAGCTTCGACTTCAGGAGTTCCTTCACCAGGTGGCACGCCACATCGTCACCTGCATGAGCCGCATCACCTTGCCCTAAGCCAGGTACAGCATGTGTAAAGCACCTGTTTGCCTGTTTATTGTCTGTGTTACATGTTGAGATGATAATGACCTGAAATATTTTTACACAGGTTTTAACTGAACAAGAGAAAATAAAACAACTTGAGAGTAAACGAAGCTTTGGTCCATCAGCTGAAGTCTGACAAGATGTGCACACGTTTTTACTAATTTAGACTTTTGTATCATTCATGTCAAATATTTCAATCTTTTGGATTTATCTTTCATTTTGAAACTAACAGCATGCGGTTAAATGCTCCAGTACTTATACTGTAGTTCCTGTAGTGATACAAAGTTAAATGCTAATACTAACATTACATTAACATTACACTAAACTAACAACAACACTGTTCAAATTGACTCTGAAATTAAAACCTTTTAAATCATAAAAGATCGAATTAAAAGTGTCAGTAAACTTTTTACCTGAACATGTGGATGTAACCACACCTACTTCCACCAATAACAACTCCCACTAATATCTATCCCACTTCTTTAACATGTAAGCAAAACTTAAATTCATTTATTAACAATGATTATGTTGTACAATATGGTTGTTTCTATAATTATAATCTTATTATATTTGTTTATAATATAATCAAAATGTATGAATGTCAAAGTGATCCTCATACACGAAAGCTGCTGTGATCATTTCACACGTACACACAACCGTGAGCTAAAGTCATCTAATTAAAAACATGTTATTGTCTTCTCTGTCTGTCTTTCTGTGTGTGTGTGTGTGTGTGTGTGTCCATCCATTCACTTATCTATCTCATAAAAAAGACAATAAAAGAAAAAAGACAATAAAGCTTAAAGTATTAACTGTAACTGTTAATATTGACACAAAGACAGATTCATCAGGATGCCACATCACAGAGTAACATCCAATCACATGCCAGACTGATAATGCCTACTGTTGCTAAATGAAAACGGGGACAAAAACAACACCAAGAGGCACAAAACACAATAAACACTAAAAATAAAACAAAAAATGGCACCAATAGATGAAAAAAAACAACGCAAAAACACCACAAAACACCACAAAGAGGCATCTTGACGAATGCTCAATCATTCAGGTAAGGAAATCCCAGAGAGTTGATTCTGTTCATCTGGACATGCACTCTGTGGGAGTGGCACAATGCTGTCATGGTCCTGGATCAGTGACCCAATGTTTTGTAGCTTTTTCATTTGTGTTTCTTGACTATTTGTTATTTAGGGTTGTCACTGTTAATAGTTTTGGTTCTGTTCTATTTATTTTATTTATTTATTTATAAAGCACGTTTAATAACAACAGGGAGCTGACCAAAGTGCTGCACAAAGTAACAGTTAAACAATGACTGACAACAACGACAGGTAAGAAAATTAAAATTAGGATAAAAGAATTGGTAACTCACACAGTTTCGAAAGCCAGAGTAAAAAAATATGTTTTAAGATGCGATTTAAAAAGAGTGACAGTCGGGGCCTTTCTAACGTGGAGAGGTAGATCATTGCACATTTTCGGTGCCACAACCACAAACGCCCGATCTCCTCTATGAACCATCCTAGACTTATGTAAGGAGCAGGTGATCGCTTGATCGAAGGGCTCTAGAGGGCGTATAAAGCTGCAATAGGTCAGACAAATAGTCCGGTGCCTGGCCAATTAGCACTTTATAAGTCAAAAGTAAGATTCTGAATTTAATTCTAAAACGCACTGGAAGCCAATGAAGGGAAGCACCGGAGTGATATGTTGGTGTTTCTTCACACGAGTGAAAAGGCGAGCTGCAGCATTCTGTACCAGTTGGAGCCGGGCCAAGCTGGACTGACTGACACCCACATATAGTGAACTGCAGTAATCCAGTTGAGATAAAACAAACGCATGAATGGCTCGTTCCAAATTTCTAAAAGATAAAAAAGATCTCACTTTGGATAGGAGCCTTAATTTAAAAAAGGACCGCTGGACAACTGAATTAATTTGTTTCTTGAATGTAAGTTTGCTCTCCAAGAAAACCCCAGGACTGTTCTAGTCATTCCTGTTCTCAGGGTTTGTATTTTGAGCTCCTTCTGTTCTGTGTGACTGTGCCTGCCCTCGTCCCACGTCTCCATGTTTCCTCCCTGTTGCCATGTCTGACGTCTTAGAGTTAAGTTTGAGTCTGTGCATACCCGTTGTATTTCCTGTCTTACTTTGAAGGTCCACGTCTAGTTTTTCTTCCCTAGTCTCATTAGCCCTGATTTCTCCCAGCTGTGTTTCCCTCCTGTCTCCTATTCCCTGGTTACTCCACTGTGTATATAAGCTGTGTTTTGTCCTGCGTGTTGCTGGTTTGTCTGCATGGTCTCAGTGTGACTCTGTGTCTTCTGTGGATGTAGGTTTAGGTTCCCCTTTGTTTCTGAGCATCCATTCGCCGCTCCTGCTCACTTATAAATAAAAGCTCACTCATCCCATCAAAGTCAGCGCCTGTGTTTGGGTCCTTACCGCACCTCCACACGTCTGCCGTCGCAGCTGTGACAAATATGCTCAATACGCTATGTCCAGATAAACAGAAGCAACTGTTTGGTAATACAAAGAGACCAAAAAACCCACAAAGACCCTCAAAATTACAACAAAAATAACACAAAGAGGAATGGGACAAAAAGGGACCCAAAAAATCCCCAAAAAACAGCAACAGGACACCACAAACCAAAACAAAACGACATAAAATATGATTGCTGTTTAATTTATATATATCTCACAACAGTAGTCATGTGAAGGTGGTTTTTATTGTAATCTAATGATACAGAAAAAGCCCCGACCCGCTATGAGCAAGCACTCGCC